GTGCAGCAGGATGAGTGGGGGCACACACATTCCACGGCACTGGTGAGGGGGTTAGAGGACACCTTTCAGGAGCCAGTTCTCGCTTTCCACCTTGGTGAGTCAAGGTGTCTCTTTGGTGGTTGCATACTCCAGGCTAGCTAGTCCATGAACTTCTGAATGATTTTCTTATCTCTGCTACCCATCTGCCATTGGAGTGCTGGGGTTACAGATGCTAAAGTGTGTGTGTGTGTGTGTGTGTGTGTGTGTGTGTGTGTCTAGAAAGAAGAGAGCACCTGTGAATATAGCTTTCAGGAGCCATCTACCTTGTTTTTTGAGATTGGGTTTCTCATTGACCTTGAGCTCAACAAGGCGAGGCTGGGTGGCCAGGTTTGTGAGCCTGAGAGATCAAACTATCTCCACCTCCCCAGTGCTGTTATGTCTGGCTTTTCTAATGTGTTTTCTGGGAATCACACTTGGGCACTTGCATTTGCTCTCCACCATTAGTACACGCTCTGTTCAAAACTTGGGGATACGGTTACCCCTTTGCTACTCGAATTCTAGAGTTTATCATTGAAATACTTCAGATAGTATGCTCTTTGCGTGCAGATATATAAACCAGTAACAATGCGTTCTCTTGTGTTTTCAGTGCTAAAATCAAAGTTAGACATATATGGTCGCTTGTGCCATCCCATTGGGACACAGCGTCATGCTTTCAAAGGTGAGGGGCCTCTAAAGCGGCAAGTGTCCCAGGGCTCTGCTGAGAGCAGCAGTAGCTGTGGGCGGACCCCAGGCAGGTGAGGGTCAACCCCGCCTCCACTCACATAACGATTTCCTTCCGTGTTTGCTCCAGCATCATGTACTGGGTCCACTCCTGGGGGCTCTCGTATGTCTTTGACTGATCCACAATCTTCTGGAACATGGTCCTTTTCCTGCAACACATACCGTCTTGTTAAAGAGATCAAACAAGGGTGAGACAGCAGATGGGCTGCTAACACGGGCTGGGCCAGATGGGGAAGTTACTGCATTCACATAGTTAACAAAACAGCATGGGAAAAACTATGGCCTTGGAATGAAGGCTTCATTCTAGATGCCATTGAACTATGTGATTTTAGCAAATCTGTTTCCCTATAGGACGCATCCACCTTGCGTATAAGAGCATCCACCTTGGCTGGGCGGTGGTGGCGCACGCCTTTAATCCCAGCACTTGGGAGACAGAGGTAGGCGGAACTCTGTGAGTTTGAGCACAGCCTGGTCTACAGAACGAGTTCTAGGACAGGCTCCAAAGCTGCACGGAGAAACCCTGTCTCGAAAAAACAAAAAAATGAAAACAAAACAAACAAAAAACATCTACCTTACAGGGATGACGTGTTGGACCTGACACAGAACAAATATCGGCAGGAACGATGGCATTTGCTGCTATAATCATTGCTGATATGAAAGTGAGGAGCGATACCTACTTGAAATACAAGGCCAGGTCCGTGGCGATGATGGCGATGTCCATCATGTGGATCGCGTGCTCATGCTGCCGGCGATTCAGGTTCTGGAAGATATTCAAGCTCTAAAGAAAAGAAGTAGACAAGTTTTGAGAAATGGTGCTGGTAGTAAAGTCTCACTCATCTTCTGGTGGCCACCCTAACTGGTGACAGGACGATGACAGCCTCGGCCAAGGGCTAAAGGATGCCTGTGCTGCTGCAGGCTTCCTGTGAGACGAGGGTCATCCTACCTCGTCTCTCAGAAGTGTTTTACCAAACTCCAAATGATGCCTTTCCAAGATGGAGGACCCATGGAGCTTGGCCAGTGGGTTCTGGGATCTAAATGAGGGAGGGAGAGAGAGAGGGAAAGAATGGGAGAGAGAGAGAGAGAGAGAGAGAGAGAGAGAGAAAACTAATATGAATATCAACATAAAATGTTCAAGATGGAGACTAAAGACATTATAACCCAGTCCTGCCACCTCCTATTTCTGTAGACAGATGCTGATGGGGAAGGAGCAGGAAGGGTTTTGCACAAAATAAAAATGAGACGGTGAAAGTTGAGAAGCAGATGTCAAATATCCTAACTTTGTCTCTGCCTTTCTTCACAAGCAACTGAGAGCCTCTTCCGGATCATGGACTCTTTAGACATTGTTACGCCGGAAAAGGACACAAGCGTATGCAAGGCCAGGCACTGTTTTAGAGAGCTATTTATCTCCTAGACACAAACACACACACACACACACACACAGTGTACACACACATGGGCGCACACAGAGGACCATGTTTTGAAGATAGTCAAGTTTTAGGGGATGTCGCTGAGTTCCCATGAGAAAAATATTTGTCCTTTTTTTTTTTTAAGTCAACAAAATATTTATTGAACACTTACAATGCTATGCCTACTGCTCAGAGTCCCACAGTGTAAAACATGACATGAGCCTTGGAACACCCTAGGATAGTGAGAAGATGGGGGAGGGGACCATGGATTCTAGTCTTCAGAAGGTCCGATAGGCCGTGGGCCCCGAGTGGAATCTAGTGGAATCCCAGTGTTCTCAAGTAGTACGAGAGAGTTTTTGTCAACTTGACACAGGCCAAGGGCATCTGGGAAGAGGATGACCTCTATCAGATTGGCCTGTGGACAAGACTGTGGGGGGATTTTCTTGATTAATTATTAGTGTGGGAGGGCCCAGCCACCCCTAGGCAGATGATCCTGGGAGGTATAGGAAAGGTAGCAGATGGAAGCCTGAGGAACAAGTCAGTAAGCAGCATGTTTCCACGGCTTAATAGAAATGGGCTGATTTAAGTTGTAAGCGCTAGTTAGTAATAATTGGAAGTCTCTGTGTTGGCTCTTTGGGAACCAGAAGGTGGGAAAGAAAAATCAGCCTACAGTTCTGCCTTGCATTCCTTCCCTGACTCCCCTCAGTGATGGATGATAAGCTATAGATGAAATAAGCCCTTCTCCTCTAAGTTGCTTTTGGTCGTGGTGTTTACCACAGCATCAGAAACCTACTTAAGGCACGGAGGTAATAACCTGTGGTCCATCCAGCTCTAAGCCTAAATGCGACTGTGCGTCAAGGACAGTGCCTCAGAGGCCACGTGGAATATGAATTTGGTTAGGAGGGGGGCTGTCTTTTTGTCATCATTATCATTGTTGTTATTACTATTTGTCTTTTTTTAAAATGCAGCTCATCAACCCGGGAGTGTATAAATGCAAGCCGAATGAATGAATGAATTTTTCCAACTACTAACATGTCTGCTCAAATTAGTTCCACACATAAGACAGGGAAGGGGGAAGAACGATAAAACTTTTTTTTTTTTTAATTTCTCAGAATGATAAGGGTTGGGTGTTTCTTTGGGGGGGTGTTTTTCTTCTTTTTCTTTCTTTTCTTTTTTCTTTCCTTTTCCTTTCTTTTTTTTTTTTTTTGTGTGTGTGTTTTGAGACAGGGTTTCTCTGTAGTTTTGGTGCTTGTCCTGAAACTTGCTCTATACACCAGGCTGGCCTCAGACTCCCATAGGTCCACCTGCCTCTGCCTCCCAAGTGCTGGGATTAAAAGGCATGCACCACCACTGCCCAGCGAATGATAAGGTTTTAATGTCCTATTGCTACAATAGCAAGCTGTCACTGACTTTTGATGTAAAACAATACAGTGTACCTCCTTTCAGCCCATGAGTTCAGAGAGCTAATGTGGTGCCCAGGATGCTCTCCTTCTGGAGGCCCTAGAAGGGAGAGTCTCTCTCCATGTTCTCCCATCTTCTAGAGACACTTTGCATTCCTTGCTGGTAGGCCCTTCTGACATCTTCGAAGGCAGCAGATGGAACCTTAGCTCTTCCTAACTCCCTGCCTCCTCACCAAAACCCTGTGGACTGTGACCCTGCACACCATCCTGGTTCGCATTCCATGCTTCTCAACTCTCTTTTGAGTGTCAGCCAACATTCCCCGGCTCCTGGATTTGGAATGTGGACATCTTTGGGAAATCATTATTCCATTTACTGTAGATCTAAACCTAGATCCAGAGTGGGGAAAGTGGGAGGCTTCGGACAGTGGGGCTTTTCCCTAGAAGCCAGATCAGGGATTGTACATGTATGGGTAATGAGTCTGGAGGGAGACTGGGAGATAGGGAAGTCGGGATGGTAAGAGCGCACTCACTTCATCTGGTAGAGATTGTTTGTGCCTCTGTGGTCAATGTCATGACAGAAGGCAGCAGTGACCATGGCCAAGGCCTCCAGATCCGTGAAGTACCGCTTCAGCTTTCCTGTCTGGAAGGATATTAGAAGGATCAGCCACGAGCATTTATTTAGTGGGATGGAAGCAAGGTAGAGAGGCAGGTGGAGAGGGCACAGCCAGAGCCCACACACAGAAGTCTGCTTGTTTGCTTTTAGAACTCATTTTAAAAAATTTTGTTATAC